TCTGCATACTCACACAGGTAAGGTTCTCGTTTCCACTTTCCAGCTCTCTTTTCCACAATCCTTCTCTGAATAACATCCACTTACAACAACTTTGTTCTACCATGGTTTTTCATAAGACGTATTCACGTATTTACTCTCATTGCTATACTATTCTTCTATTTATGGAATGTATCATTTGATTTAACTGTAAATCTATTTTCCCATTCACATGTGAACATGGGATTTTGTATCGCTCTCTTTACTAAATTCTAATTCGTTGAGTGTGCGATGAATAACAGTCTTCGATTATTTCCACCATACATTTATTTCACATATCTGAATCAACGTGTTATTGTGTTACACTTACAGCACTATTCAACTGAATTAAAACAACTTAAAACTCATCTCATACTCACTGCATTAATTAAATTTGTTTTCGTTCATGCAAAGCTTCAATATCAGTGTGTTTTTTGTTACGACAACTTTTATCATGGATCCCCTCGCAAATCATGAATTTCTTCATCGGTACGATCTGGTGTCCCAATCTCCTTGTCAAAAAGTCTTCCGAGAATAATCATGAGCGAATATAATTCGTGAGGAAATCACGGGTGGAACTGATTAGCAAAGTAGGCCGGTGTGCTTGCGGTGAAAATGAATATTTCAAAAGCCAAAATATTGAAGCGAAATTTATCTGCAAATCGGAAGTGGCCAGTGCCTGGACGGAGTGCCGAGATGACCGCGACATTCTGCTGACCACTGCTGACCACCAGTTAAACACTTGGTCGGTGCCGGTCATCTGGTCATCTCACACAGGAAATTTGGTCATTCAAGATCGGATTCAGAGAAAGAGAAGGCTGAGCGAGATTCTATTTCTTGAGGTCTTTCATTTTTCATCAGAATGTTAGCCGGTCGACTCTGTACTAAGTTTAGTGTTGACTTTTGTTTAATTCGTTTTGAAATATTAAAACTAATACCCTCATACCGATCGTCTCATTCTCAATCTGTTACAAAATATTAATTCGACCGATGTTTTATGCATTTATGAATGTAAATGGTTTATCACATGGTCATTGGTTTATCACATAATAAGATACTTCAATCGGCTTTTTAATCATAGTATCTTGTGTTGTTTTATTCCAATCAAGTTGCTTTTGACTAGATATCATTTTTAGAGCGTGAAGTCAGGTTTCATTACAATTTACAAGATCGTCGAAAATTTGTGTTTGTTTTTCATGATTATAAGATACTTGTTTCCACGCTTAACCATTTAATCCAATCACAATATATACGATTCGTATGATGAGTTATACAAAAAAAAGTCTTCAGTAGATCAACCATTTTTTAAGCAAATGATAAACTCTAGCATGACATGGATATAATTTCTTCCGCTTTCTACACTTTGCCACGTGTCATACATTTTTAAATTTTATATTCCATCTAAATTAATTTCCTTTGTTTTCGGTTTCTTCCGTGTGAAACATACACTCCCTTCCTCTTCAGTAATTCTATTTGGATACGGGTTCTCATTCGTCTTCCACATGTTTACCCTTTGCTGTTTTGTTCATTGCCTTCCTACATTCTGCACAGAGCCTGCACTGACTGACTGACATGTCTTGTACTTTCCAAATTTGACATGTGTCAATTTCATGACGCAAGAGCATTTACCCCATTATTTCCTATAATTATCTTTCTTTTAAAGTGCACTCGAGAGATATTGTTGATTAATGACTTGTAAAAAGCTCTTTGGAGAGAGAGGGGTGCATACACGCGCTCTATTAATCTTGTCCTACGCAGAGCGAAAGTGTGTTCTCTTTTTTTTTATAAAGTCATTTTTTGTCGCCTTTTCCGCTTTCATTTTCATGCTAGTCGCAACTTCAAGCTTTATACTACCATATGTTGATTCTCGTTGCCAAGAGTAGCTGAGCGGAGAAGTCCCTGGCACGAGTTTGTAAAGTACAAAGAGGAAAAACAATCGGCCGTCTATCTAGGGTGAATACTCGCTAGTTCTTCATTGGAATTTTAGATGCGCCCGAGTCCCCCTGTTACCCGCATACCCCAGTACGGCACCGTCAACCAGCCCGGCCGTTGCCCGTGCCGATCCCACTACCATCTGGGTTTTTCCCACGCCTTGATCTGTCAAAAAGGCGTGTAAAATCAATGCAATTTTCACGGTCTGCTCTATGGCTCCCATTCAGAACCGATTTGGCCGCTCTTTTCTCACCCTCAGTATCCTCTTGAGAAAATCACTTATGAATCTATTAGGATTGTTAACAATTCACCCCACTGCGACTGGCCGTACGTACGCCTGTTCAGATTTTAAAGTCGTGCTTCGTCCCAATAAATCATGGAATAAAATATTTAGAAATAAAAAACGTCAAAAAAGCGGTATAAAATATATATATCATCATCATTATAAAACATCTAACTATACATATACAAATATGCTAAGAGAAGAAACGTTTTATTTAGCATTTACTGTATATCTTCGTGTACACCGCTCTTGAAAATTCACTGTTGAAATCTAATCGTAGGTCTGTCATACTTATAACTTGAGATGCTAATTTCATTTTCCTTTGTGATAAAGAATCTCTTGATTTTGTAATAATTGCATTGATTTTTGTCGATGGCATGACAATTTTGTGTTACTTTGTCACTTTTTATAACATTTTAAATGTCTTTTTACAAAGGCAACATAAAATTGCTCGTTATCCGGCACCTCTTCGGCCTAAAAAGTAAAAAACATGTTCTGTAGTGTATAAAGCATTCTAGATGCGTTTTGATTGGTTGGTTGATCGATACTGACAGCCAATCAACGAGTAGGTCGCCTTGCGCAGGCGCTGTCCATCGGGAGCGGAGGAAATCACTTGGAGGGTTGATAATTTGAGGCACGCGCGCAGCGAACGCGACGAGAGATGAACTTCCGTAACCAACAGAAAAAGTGAGAGCAGAGAAGAGAAGAGGAGGGAGAGAGAGAGAGGGGGTGGGGAAGTGAGGGCAGGGAGGGCGTATCGAAAAGAAGAGAAGAGAGAGATAGAAAGAAGAATTACTCAGTGAAAGAGGGTTGGGGGAGAGAAAAGGTGGTTTAGAATGAAATAGTGAATGATAAAAATAAATTTCACACAAACAAGAGAGAAAGAAAGAGAGGGGTCGACAGGGGAGAGGGAAATGAAGACAATGGCCGAAGTGAAAACAAATATGAAACTAGAGTCAAAAGAAACATTAAGAAATGGATGGATGAAGAAATAGGAAGAGAGAAGAAATACAAGAAGGTGAAACGGATAGACATTTACCACAAAATAGAAAGACGAGAAAGAAGGTTCGAGGTGAAACACTTGTGAAATTGAATTTCTTTTCAATTGTCACGATTATACTTCAAATTAAAAGGAAATAATGTTTTATTGCGACTGTAATGATTGGCATTGTTACCTCAAACAAATTTTCTAATTGCCATGAATCGGAACGATGATTACATGACGGGCTTGTCATCTTCACAACTGCCTCGAATCTCAACCGCACAATTTGCACAGCGGAACGGCAGGGTCAGAAGGATAAAATTGAAATCACTAGCCAGTATTTGTTCTCTCATCGATCAAAACCCCACCAAATCGACCACATTGAAGATGTTGAAGAGCTCCCTAAACAATCCAATTAAATCATTTCGGATGTCGCACGAGCACGCCGCTCTATCACCGAAAAGGATGGGATACTTTGGACAAAATAAACAGCTCTGTCTCAACGCGCGTTCTGTTTGGACAGCGTGCGTTAAGCAGTCGCTAGCCCAGCGAATAAATACAAAAACTGGACTCGCTCATTACCAACTCATTAGATTATTATTGTTTCCAGTTTGTCGTTTTCTAGAAACAGCGAAAACCTATTGAATTGGAAGATTATTGTTCAAAATCATCGATTTGCTTGACTGCTGTCGTGCTCTGCCAACTATAGTTGATTGATTGATTATTTGAGTGTTTTCTTTTAGATTTTAGTGAGTTGTTTGAAGGAAATATTGAGAACCCAATAAAATAATATGTTTCTCATGAAGACAAACGAAATGAAAGGCGTCACTTTTGAAACAGAACAAAGTGTCTTAGTTTGATTTTGATACATAAAATAACGCATTGTAACTTAAAATAAGATCGGGATCGTGACAAACAGAACGAAAGAAAGAAATTAATGAAGGATAGAGCAAGAAGGTAGACGATATTGACACTGGAAAAGAAGGAAAGGAATTTCACCTCCTTGATAACAAGAGAAACAAAGGAAGTGAGATGGATCTAAATAGATTTTGAAATTTAGAAGAACAAGGAGATAGGAAAGAGGGATACGTATATGGAGCGAAAAACGGAGGAGTATGACAAAAGGAGATAGATACAGAAGGGGGAAAGAGAAGTAGAACGTAGAGAGAGAGAGAGAGAGAGAATGGAAGAGGAGAGATAGGAGAGACAGAGAGAGAATGAAAGAGAGAAAGAGAGAGAGAGAGCGCGCTAATATGGTTACACAATCTATATTTCCACCTAAAATGATACATTGTCAAGTAATACTTGTCACGTGCACAAACATGTTCGTTTTTCACATTTGGCGATTTTGTTAAAGACTTTATTTACCAAGGCAAAAGTGAATGCCAATCATCATCATCACTTGTTGCATTATCTTTGTAAAATCGTGCTATGCAAATCCAAATTAACCGTCCATTATTTTAAAAAATGGATTTGATTCCTTTGTTGACTTTCAAGTTAATGTTTCTATTCATTACTTTGTTTTGTCTCGGTATTATCACATCTTGTTTAATACACAAATTAAATTTTGGTTATTGTGTCAAATGCTACTACTACTACTTCTTGTATTACTACTTCTTCTTTTTCCTTTTCTTCTTCTTCTTCTTATGATCGCTTACGTCATGATATACTTGTTGACACTATCGATGATGTGACCTGTCAGCAAAAGCAGATAACTTGGAGACATGTATTTTCTATTCTCCTAAGTAATCGAATTGTTCTCTTTCTTTTCTCTTCCATCATTTGCAGGAGAAGGGCGTATCCATCATGCCAGCATTATATCCTACCCCGATGACCCGGACACTACTGAGGAGGGAACCCCCGGCTTGCGCACGCGCATTCACAAGTCATCCAACATACCCGGAGCCGTCTTCGCTGTCTCTCTACTCCAACTCCCGTTTCAACAATAATACGGAACCAGCTAACAGCAACGTGGTAGCCATAGGAACACAAGTCGCCACACCGAAGACCGAGAAACCTGCAAAGAGTCACAAACGCCGACAGCTGAGTAACTGCACCAGCTCAAAACGCGTGAAGCTTACGTCCGATGTTCCGTCCAATACTACGACTACGACAATGATGCCCAAGAGAAAACGTTACCAGCGATCACGATGTCGCACACGTAGTCCTGCATGCATCCAGAAGGTCCGTCGTCATCGTCGGCTGAAGGCCAATGATCGCGAGAGGAACCGCATGCACAATCTCAACTACGCTCTCGACGGCCTGAGGGAAGTTTTGCCCAACTTTCCAGACGACACTAAACTGACGAAGATTGAAACCCTTCGCTTCGCCCACAACTACATCTGGGCCCTGTCTCAGATGCTCAACATGGTGGACAGCAGCGAAAATGGTTGCCCAGGAACGGAGAACCCGTTCTCGGCTCTTCAAGCGATGACAGGAGCAATGACTGGAACGTTGTCCGGGGGATCGTCGGCAGCGAGTATGTGCCGGGTGGCCCATGAGGCGATGACGAGGAACGACCAAACACAACTTTTGAGCTGCAGGTATGAGCTGTCTTCTCCTACCGTTAAGGAGGAAACTCCATCTTGGGATCACTTTTACCCTGAGAGTCCCGAGTCTTCAGAGTGTTCCCCTGAGCCGCCGATGTTTTCCAAGAACTCCCTTCTGCAGACGTCACCCTTCAAACGCTCCTCAAGCCAGACGACTTACATGCACAATCGCGATATCGTTGATCGATTAACGCCATGCGCTTGGCTAACAAATTAAAAACTTCTACATCGTTAATTTTGCCATAAAATTATTCGAATACACGCGCAACTCACAAACGAATCTTTCAAAAGACTTTAAATACTGTTGTGCTAGACCCAACATTAAGTGCAGGCTGCAGAAGTAATACTGCCGCATTTTCCAGACTATGTAATTTAATAATTTAGCAAATTCGACAGTGTTTTTTAAATGAACTATCCCCTTTTTAACCATGTGATTTTTGTTTTATTTTTAATTCTCATTTAATTTAATTTAATTGTATAATGTTCATGTTATCCCCAATACAACTATCTATAATCACAATTATGGACAACATTTGAATGATTAAAATCAGTACTAACTGTTTCGTTTGATTTCACTCGATTCAACTATGTCAGTCCTGGGGGGCGTTTCACAGAACTTGTCATCAATGACAAACGACAGTTTTTGTTATAAGCTACTGAAATCCTTGCTTCTGATTGGTTATCAGCAGATTTGTCACTGATTTTTGTCATTTGTCATTTAAAAAAGGCCTTGTGAAACGGGTCCCTGTTATTTTCATTTTCATAATCTTGACACTAGTGCTATCTCCAAATATAACGTGCAATTTCTTCCCTCTGATAACAGTACGTTAAAATCAACTCAAACCGTCCAAAATATGTTAATAGGAACTTTTCGATTTGCACGACGAGAACGTGGACTGCAACGTGTGACATCCTTTTAAGACATTGCCAGTGCCCTAAAAGGACGTCACACGTGACTGACAGTGCCTTAAAAGGAAGTCACATGTCCACATCCACGCAAATCGAAAAGTCCCTAATTCAAAGTGTTGTGGTGACTGAGGTTCAGTGTGTTTTATTGATCTTGCTCTACATATTTTACGAAAAATAAACGTTTTGAGTAAACGTTTCAGACAATGTGACCATACTTTTGAGAAGTAAAAGTCACCTTTTTTTCTGGAAACGTTTCATTCAGTTCAAAGTAGAGTAAAGGTTGTAAAGGGAGCAGAAAGAAACAAAAATAAATAAAGAGAAAGCTATTCTGAGTCAGGATGACCGAATATGTGAGATGATAATGTTTGTTAACTCATAAGCAATATTTTCTTAATATGGCATTTTGCATGTAATATGTTTATAACAGAGTTTCGATTGTATATAACTAATTTCAAGGTGTATTTATATTGCGCTCAAATTAAATTGATTTGTACAAATTAATGGGTGCTCGATGATTTTTTTTTTTATGGATGGGTTTGTAAATATATATATATATGTTTCGGGTGTATTTTATATAAAAACAACCTCATTTGGGGCAAATGTTGCAATAACAGCGTGAAATGGAACTAAATGTTTCAGTGGTTACAGTAGAGAAAAAAAATATACCGTAAATATGGTAAATAAAATGTTTTACCAGCAATCTGTAATATTGTAAGTTTGTTTTATGAGGTGTCATCTAACTGTTGAATGACAGTGACATTGTAAACTTGGTAACATATGGATCTACAGTGTAAAATCGAATACGAATATGGATTGTTTTGTGGGAAAGATTATCTCATGTGTTAATTATGCAGACAATTTCATACAATTAGAAAGATCTTTCTTCTTCAACAAAGGATAAGAAAACAATACAATATTTTCGAATAGTAGGTTTCTTTAAATGAATTTGTTATCCTTAACTTTTACTTTATAACTCTCTAACTTTCAATTTAATTGAGTTAAAGAATATCACTTTAAATTAATGGATTTTCCTCTGTAATGGCTTACACACTAAGAAATAAGGGTGCAATAGGGGTGCAGATTTGCATCCACCTACGCGTATGTGACAGAAGGTGCTGCTGTTGTAGCAGAACTGTACCTTTATTTCTTGATGTGTAGCATTGTTTTAAAGTTTCCTGTGCCTTTTTGTAATGTCTATTCAAAGTTCTTCCAATCGATTTCCCCAGATTTGAATACTTTGATCCTTAGGATGGAAATCACGTGATATTTTGATCGCTTGTAATTGGTGTTTTGATCGTACATTGGACGATAATGCTGATGAATGAACAATAAACAAAATGGGAATCGGTGCAAAATATGTGAAGCTGTCAATGTCGTTTTATATCGGCTATTTGCAATTAACGCTGATTGAGTGATAGATGAATTGATGAATTGATGGATGGATTGATAGATTGGTGATAAAATGGATTGATTAAATGGTGGACTGAAAGATAAGTGCTTGGACAATGTTATGTTAAGAGTGAGTGCTTAGGGAGAATGATTCAAACATGTATGACTTCACAAGGTATTCGACGGATGGATGGATGGATGGATAGATGGGACGATGGAAGGATAGATGGATAGATGGGACGGTGGGTGGATGGATGAATGGATGGACAGGAGGACGGATGGATGGATGAAAGAATGGATGGATGGATGGATAGATGGATGGATGGATGGATGGATGGATAGATGGATGGATGGATGGATGGATGGATGGGGCGATGGGTGGATGGATAAGTGGATAGATGGATAGATGGATGGATGGATGGATGGATGGATGGGGCGATGGGTGGATGGATAAGTGGATAGATGGATGGATGGATGGATGGATGGATGGATGGGGCGATGGGTGGATGAATAAGTGGATGGATGGATGGGGCGATGGGTGGGTGAATAAGTGGATAGATGGATGGATGGGTGGATGGATAAGTGGATGGATGGATGGGGCGATGGGTGGATGAATAAGTGGATAGATGGATGGATGGGTCGATGGATAAGTGGATGGATGGATGGGGCGATGGGTGGATGGATAAGTGGGTGGATGGATGGATGGGTGGATGGATAAGTGGATGGATAGATGTGGCGATGGGTGGATGGATAAGTGGGTGGATGGATGGGTGGATGGATGGATGGATGGGTGGATGGAAGGATGGATAGATGGATGGATGGATGGATGGACGGGTGGATGGATTGATTAATGTATGGATGAATGGATGGATGGACGGGTGGGTGGATGGATGGATGGATGGATGGATGAGTGGGTGGGTGGATGAGTGGGTGGGTTGATGTATGGGTGAACATTGGATAACCACCCCCGGTCATCTACCCCCTAAGGTAACCACCTTTAGGACGAATACCCCCAGGACACCTATCCCCGGACAACTTCCCCCAGACTAGTACCCATAGGAAAGTACCCCCTAGGACAACTACCCCCAGACAACTACCCCTAGGATAGTTGTCCGGGGGTAGTTTGTCCTAGTGGGTAGTTGACTGGGGGTGGTTATCCGGGGGCTGGATGTCCAGGGGGTAGGTGTTCTAGAACCGTGATGTCCATATCATCTGTCCATATCCATCCTTCGCCTTTCTCTTGACCTTTATTGATGCGACCCTTAATGATGTGGGTACAGAGACTTTGGGCCCTGATGACGTGTCCAAAATATTGCAGTTTCTGCTTTCTCACATACTCTAAAAGCTTTCGCTCAATCTCCTATTCCTCAAGGACTGACTTGTTTGTTCTGTTAGTACATCTGTAACATTTCATCTTAATTGTAAACAGCCTTGTCATAGCTGCTCTCAAAACCGTAGAGGTGTTGTGGTCGTGGATAAGTCGTTGGACTGTGGATAACAGGGTCCGCGGTTCGATTCCCGCCACGGCACTAATGTCCTTTGGCAAAATATATTTATCTACATGTGCCACTCTCCACCCAGATGTTTAATGGGTACCGGTAGGAAATAGTTCCTTGAATGCTGTGAGCACTGAGATCGGCTGCCTAGCAGAGCCGGGGTAATAGCTGGAGCGCCTTGAGCACCATGCATGGTGGATATGTGCGCTATATAAATATCCAATATTATTATTAGTATTCAATATTAAAATCCATGCTTCATATTCATACAGTGCTAAAGGCCATACCAATTTTGTAATCAGTCTAGTGGATAAGTCGTTGGACTGTGGATCACAGGGTCCGCGGTTCGAGTCCCGCCACGGCATCAATCAGTCTCAGTTTAATGCGCTCATTGATATCACGATCCTACCACATGTAACGCAGTGAGCAAAGGGGTGACCCTGCCGAAGCTAGTCGAGCCCTAATCTCATGACTACCATCGACCGTCCGGTCAATGATAGGCTCTATACGTTTCTCAACCTGTTCGCTTGACGTCCTGCCACTGAATAATTAACTGTTCAGGTTCTCTGATAGCTACCATGATCTTTGTCGTCTTTGCGCTAATTTCCAGCTGGAACTCGCTGGAAATCCTACCCACCTCATTCAGCAACCTCTGAAGATTAACAGGTGATGTAGTGATCAGAACTATGTCATCGGCATAGCTCAGGTTATTGATTTCTAACTCTCCAATAGTAACTCCCATCCAATGAAGTGTATCTGCAGACTGTCGCATCACTTTCTTTGAATAGAAATTGAAGGACATGGGTGACACGAGACATCCCTGACGTACTCTTCCGCAATACAATTTTGCTGTTGTGACTAATCAGAGCGATGGTGCGATGTTCTGTGCATTTCGTGGCCCCTGTTGTCTTAGGGAATGGGGTAAATATTGACTTCTTCCAGTTTGATGGCCTTTCCATTGTCTCTAATATCTTATTGCACAGTCTACTGAGCTCTTGTCATCATCTGGTAATCAGTCTTAATCAGCTCTGCAGGTAGGCTGTCAATACCCGGGCCTTTGTCCTCTTGGCAGCCACCTATATGATTCTTCTACCTCTGATCCCAAGATGACCGGACAGTCTCCTTGTTTATCTGAAAGATCGTGCCCACCCATATTCCATCTTTTAGGATGTCGTGAAGGTGATGATTCGGCCCTCCCCGTCCCGGATGCTCCTCTGTTTTTGGCTGGAAGCCCTTTCTCAGTGCCTTGATGACAGTGTGTATAGCTGCTATGTGTTATGGTTTCGAAGACGATCTTCTTCTTCAGTACATTCCTCTTCCCGCCATCTTGCTTTGTCACGTCAGACCTGTTTCTGGATTGCTTTATCTACTTGTTGATACTTTATTGCTCCATTTTCAGAAGTACCACTATTTCCTTCGAGCTTCCTTCGCTTGTCCATCAACATCAACAGAGTTTCCTCCGTCTTTTAATTTTTTTTTGCCTGTCTTGGTTTCCTACCAAGAACGTCTTCTGCAGTGGTCTTGGCAGTCTCCTAGAACACCATGAAAAGCTCCTGTGGTGTTCGCTCCTCCTCAAGCAGCCTCACTGCTTCAAATCCATTGTTTACCTTAACTACTTTTACTACTTCTACTACTACTACTACTACTACTACTACTACTACTACTATTATTACTGCTTCTACTACTACTACTACTACTACTACTACTACTACTACTACTACTACTACTAATAATAATAATAATAATAATAAAATAATAATAATGATAATACTATACTACTACTACTACTACTACTACTACTACTACTACTACTACTACTACTAGTACTACTACCTACTACTACTACTACTACTACTACTGCTTCTACT